TTATTTATCTATTCATTTATTCACATATATATTCATTTTATTTCTGCTCTGTATATTTATGTATCATTTATCTATTTCTTCATCTGTTTTTACTCGAAGACTTCTGCTAGTGTTTTTTTTTCAGTAATGACGTAAGGGGCATTAAAAAAAAAAGTTATGGAGACTTTTTCGGTGAAGATAAAGGGGACTTTAACGAGCCAGTGGACGATTCTTGCTTCGTGGAAATTGGATGGACCTGTTTTGTGGAGACTATAGTACTGTGGAGACTAGAATCTAGATGTACGGTAGATGAGCGGTGGGAGAGGCTAGTCTGACGTGACGGTTGCAAACTGCCGAAACTGTTTGAGGATCTTCTATGGAGCCAGGAGGATCCTTTACTGTAGAAGCCGGAGGGGCGTGGTCTGTGGAGAATCCATGTGTCGAAGGCTTGTGAGTGGTTGCTTGGAGGAAATGAAGCGCCATGACCTTGTCCCACTGCCGTCTGTAAAGCCATGTCGATCGGGACGAAGTCTCTCACGACCCCTGCACCCAGAGGGATCGCGAGTACTTCATGGGGATCGGGTAGATTCCTTCGTCAAGCGGACCAGGGAACGTTCGAGTTTCATGATGGCATTCTTGATTTTGCCCTTCTGGCTGCGCAGGGCCGGACGACGGTGGCAAACCTACGGAGGAGATCCTTCAGGTTTGTGCTGAGGGATTCGGCGAAGGCAGCAGCGTGGTCTCCGTGCGTGCGTGTGTGTGGGTGGGTGTGTGTGTGTGTGTGTGTGTGTGTGTGTGTGTGTGTGTGTGTGCGTGCGTGCGTGCGTGCGTGCGTGCGTGCGTGCGTGCGTGTGTGTGTGACTATAGATATCAACTACCATTTAGTAATCCATAAAAGCCTATAAGTCAAAACACATTTTCAATTATTTAATAATCAAACCATAAACATATGACATAAAATAAAACAAAAGAAAGATAAAACAACGAAAAAGTAACACAAGAGTAATACTAATAATAATAACACCAATACCAGTCAATAGCAATACTAATAATTGGTGAAGAAATGCTGATGATCTGATGATTATTGTTGCAAAGATGGTGTAGAAGTCTATAAATGATTTATATACAGGATTTTTTATGCGATGGTCTTGTAGTATGTCCAGACTGACAGACGGTGGATATTGATATATATTACGCATATATTGATATATAAGCATATATATTGATATATATTACTGAACATTAACTGTACAAATGTCATTACACGTCACACATAAATATGATAACGTGTTGTAAATAAAACTACAGTTACACATACTTATAATTATATATCACAGCTATTAGACAATACACATAAAACTATTATTACACCGTATATATACCCATCATTACACTTTCCACACAATTGTCGGTACACGTTACGCATATATATCTTCATACATTACACACAGACACAAATTACACACAAATTGTCATTACACATATTAGCTCACTTACATATCACTAAACATAAAACATGAAGACAATCATTGTATGTACTAACACCAAAAAACACCGTCCGAAGTTACCGTTGAGCCGTCATGTTTAGAGACAAGCATTTACGATTTTATAATTTTAGGTTAGGTACCGGTCACTTTCTAGTTTAAATAGTTTTATTTATCTTTTATCTACTTTTTATTGATATAAACTATTTGTTTTGTTAATTAGGATGAACCGTATTCATGTTGACAAATGCATAAAAAGGTATGAATGAGGATGAATATCTTTGACCGGTTTCGATTATATCTTCGTCAGAAACACATATATTTAATGCATTTCTGACAGATATAATAAGATATATAAGATATAATCGAAACCGGTCAAATACAGCTCTTGTATTGAGAAGACATTCATTCTCATTCATACCTTTTCTATGTTAATTAGTTTTATTTCATGGAGACGCTTTATTCATTAATTTAAAACACCCTTTTTTGACTTGTTTAAAAGAGACGCTTTGTCAAAAAGTTTATCCTAAATATATATATTTTTAATCAAATTACATTTTATAGTTTGTTCATTTCTATTAACTTCTTGTTTTTTATTTTGTGATAACAAGATGTCTTATTGATCTGTTTAACATATATTACTCAGCTTTTATCTTATAGCTGATTTAGTTAATCAGTTTAATCTATTCCCGTTAACGAAACGTTTAATGAATCCATGTAAAGAGATTTTTCATTACTTAGCCATTAACCGGGTATGTATATATGTTTATTCTTTTCTCTCTGTCGCTATATCAAAAATGGTTTAGCTCATCTTTTGATTTCAAATAGGATTCTTTAAAACAAATACTGAAAGAACACATTTCGTTGTGAAAAGAGAGAGAGAGAGAGAGATACAATGGAATTTTACGAAGATCTAGCTTCGCCCGGGCATTCCATATATTTTTAATTTGCTTTCTGACACTCGGTGCTTACCATGGCGGCGGGATTGCCAGCTGGTGCTCCTGCCCCCATGATGTAAGCATACTGCATAATCTCTT